CTCTGTCTCTCTCTCCCTCTCTGTCTCTCTCTCCCTCTCTCTCTCCCTCCCTCTCCCTCCCTCTCCCTCTCTCTCCCTCTCTCTCTCTCTCTTTCTCTCTCTCTCTCCCTCCCTCTCTCTCTTACTCATACACACAGAAAAACCAAAACAATCTCAGAAGAAGATTTCCTATCAATATCCAGTGATTAACTGGAAAGTGTGATGCATCTGAAATTTCTGCCATCTCCTTAGGAAATGAGAGAAGAGGAGAGCTATGTGAAGCACTATTTGCTTGTAAAGTTGAATGACTATCAGTGCTACAAAGAGGAGGAGTGGCTGTTAGGTGTTTACTTGGGGAACAGGTTTTGATGAGGCTTTCTGGACCCTTTTGTGGAGAGAGAATAGGTTTCTCCAGCTTTTGTTTTGCTGTGTTGCTGATGAGGGCTGTCATTCTAGAGTGGGTATTGTCTTTACTGGCTTCCACAGGTGTGAGTAATCAAGGAAAATAACATCTCATAGGGGGGAATGACAAGGGCAAGAAAAATATTGGCAGAGATATAAAAAAGTTCCTGGATTTAAGCACAGATATTGGTTAAAAAGAACTGTTCTAGCCACAGTTGTAAATAGATATGAATCCTGTACATTCAGCCATTTATCCTAGAGCCTCAGTGACTCAGCCCCTTCCTGGCCACACCCAACACACCTAGGGTGACATGGTTTTGATAGACAATATTGGGGGTGGGGTGAGGAATTCTTTAAGAAACACTTGCCTATGATTAGTTGCTTGAAGAAACATGAGATTCTCTTGCCATTTTTGAAAATGTGAACAAGATGGTACATAGGGGGAGTATATATACAATGTCTTTGTGCAGTTTAGAATACAGTATAGAGTGCTGTGATAGGCTTCTTCAATCTCATGTCTTAATTCTTTGGCATGGTTTCAATGGCCTGTTGATATATTTATTGAATATGTCATAATATATTTCATCATTTACTTTGACATTTATATTTGATTGGAAAGAAATCTTTAGAACCTTTGGCTCAAATGACATTTACTCATGTTGTATACTAGGGCCCAGTGCAGTGTTCAGCATGTAGGGGTACTTTGCTCCTGGTAGATGCAAAACCTCATACCACTAAGAAACTGTCTTTTTGTCCTTCCAATTTGAAAAAACCTTGGAAAGAACCTGGATTGGCCTGATGCCAGCCAAAGAACAGTTGTACTGGCAGCTCCCATTAGACCCACAAGAGGAGATGGTGGGGAGACGAAATATTCATTTTATAAAGGAAAAGATTGCCATTCGTGGAAGAGAGATATGTAGGTAAACAAAAAGAACTGGCCAACAAAGTATATTTCCAAAAGTGGTATTGCTGGTCATATTGACATACAAATATGTGAAAATATATAAATATATTTAATGTTCTTGTGATGTACACCCTGAGAGAGTTTGAGAGAAGTAGACTTGTCCACATTCTGTAGGCCTTTGAATTGTAGCACACACAGACATTTGTGTACGGCGTACTGAGTTACTGCTAAAAACTTGAAGCTGTTCGTTATTCCCATGTAGTCCATTATATTCCTCTCATTGTCATGCTTTTCTCTAATTACTTGAGATTATTAACATTAATTATTAATGTTTATTGAGTGCTTGTTCATGTGGAGCTAGATGTGTGAGTTAAATATAAATACTTGGTGGAAATGAAATAGTATAGTTCTTTCTTCTCTCTTTGTCTTACAATCATAGTGACAGCTATATCTGTATGGTTACCCCATAATAGTGCTTCATGTTATGGCCCTCCTTGCTTCTTGTGGTTTAAACCAACAATTGTTTTTTAATTTATTTTTTGTTAGTTGTGGGGCTTGAACTTAGGGCCTGAGCACTGTCTGAACTTTTTTGCTCAAGGGCAGTGCTGTACCCCTTTGAGCCACAGTGCCATTTTCAGTTTTCTGGTGGTTAACTGGAGTCTCATGGACTTCCTGGCTGGACTGGCTTCAAACTATGATCCTCAGATCTCAGCCTCCTGAGTAGCTAGGATTACAGGCGTGAGCCACCAGCGCCCGGCTCAGGATAACTTTTTAACCAGCCCTAGGACTATGTGATTCAGAATCTCTCTGATTAAAAAAAACAAATAATTTTTTATTATGTTAATAAGACAATGATCCAAAGTGAAGTATGCTTGATATATCTGTATATATGTAATTTTGTATGTATATGCCTATGCATGTATACATGTATATATCTGAGGTGTACTGACCGATGTATTTAATATCCTCCTGTCACTTACATATGTGAGGTCACCTGGGGAAAGAGGAGACATTTTATGACTTAGACTTGATAGTGGTATTCTCATTTTTTTAAAATAAATTTTTTATTGTGAAAATACTGTACAGAGGGTTTACAATTACATGAGCAAGGTAATGAGTATATTTCTTTTTTTTTTGTGAAAATACTGTACAGAGGGGTTACAATTACATGGGCAAGATAGTGAGTACATTTCTTATCAAGCATTGTAGCCTCCTCCTTTGTTTACCCTTCCCATCCCTTCCCATCCTCCCTCCCCCCATCCCCCCCAAGTTGTAAAGTTCGTTTTTGACATGACAACTTGTACTTCTCATTGTTGCAACAGGTCCACCTATATCCTTATTTAAACGACTTGTTTTTCCCCTTCCCCTCCACAAATTATGATATTCTCATTTTTATTCTTTCCCGATAATATGAACTCTATCCCTTTAAAGGGATTTGGGGGTCATACTATTTATTTTAATTAAACTGACCCTCACAAGGGGGCAAGTGACTTAAAAAGATTTTTGCAAAGTAAGTATAGAATAATGCTAATGCTATCCTATTACAGTAAGTAGAATTAGAGTATCAGGACCAAGAAAATATGTGAATGTATGCATATGTGCCAGTAGTGGGTCTTTTATGTTTTTATCTGAGACTGGGACTCTAGCCAGATATCTGACACTTATGCTTATTGCCTGGTGCTCTACCACCTGAGCCATGCCTTGAACCCCAGCCATGTGTCCAACCCTTAGTACTGGGTCTTGAACTCAGGTCCTCATGTTCTCATTTGTGAAGCTGGTGCTCTATCACTTGAGTTACACCTCTACTACTAGCTTTTTGCAGGTTAGAGATAAAGAGTCTCAGATTTGTCTGTTTGAGGTTGGCTTTGAACCTTGATCCTCAGATTTCAGCTCTTAAGTAGGTAGATTACAGGCATAAACCATAGGTGTCCAGTTAAAAAAAATCTTTTTATAAAATGATGATAAAATGAGATTTTCTCATATTTTGGCTTTGTGTTATTAATAACAATGACCTGAACATATTGTTTTGAATGTTTTTTTAAAAATGAATCCAAGTCTGGTGGTACACACTTGTAAAATCAGCACTTAGGAAGATAAGACAGGAGGATCATGAGGTAGGCTAAACTAGATATTAATGTACACACATGTATTTTATAAACTGTGTATTTTCTTTGCAAACTGTCTACAATTTGTCTATCAAGAAAAACATTTATTGTTTTTACTGGTTGGGCTGCATGGTCACTTAGAGTCAGTCATTGTTTTTGCAACTTGCTGCTGATACAAGGACAGATAGGAGTGGCTGGCCCCTGTTTTACTCCTAGGTGATAAGGTTCTATGTGACCTGGTTCCTGCATCTCCATAGTACTGGAACTTTCATGATCCTTTAGGTTTTAGCTATAATATTGCTTTCTCATGACATTTTTCTGATTTTCTCCTTCCACATTTCAGTGGTTCTTTCAGCATTTACTCCTCCTCCTAGTGCTTTGCTTACACACACATCATTACTACATTAATTATAGTGCTTTGGCTTTTCCCCTTCCTTCCTTCCTTCCTTCCTTCCTTCCTTCCTTCCTTCCTTCCTTCCTTCCTTCCTTCCTTCCTTCC